ACACGAAGAATCACACGTTTGACATTTTCCGGTGGTAATATCCGGGTACATATTCAATTTGCATTTAGTGCAATTTCTTGAACTTGTTGAACTGCATGTTTCGCAGTTTGGGTCAAATAATGTGCAAGTTATACACTTCTGTTGCTTTATTTTGTTCAAGACATAGTTATCAATACACTGTGTACAAACACCACTTGAGTCACATGTTGAACAAGTTGGATCACATAAATCACAAACTCCATTTGACAAATAAGAAATACCACTTCGGCAAATTTCACATTTTCGCTCTGTTGTCGAACAGTTAAGACAGTTTGGATCAAATCCCGAACAACTCTGACATTGTCTTGGGGTATTTTTATTAATTGTATACTGATCATTAATACACGTCACACAATTTCCTGTTGTTGTTGAACAATTAAATAAACAAGTGGTGTGACAATTAATACAAGAAAATGGTGATGATGGATTTGGATATTTTCCAACTGAACATGTTAAACATTTTCTTGAGGTTTGTGAACAAGTCTTACAATAAGGATCATATGTTGTACACGGCTGACATTGAATACTATCGACATTCTGTTTTGTGTATAATTCTTTGCATGTTTCACATATTCCAGTTTTTTTGTTACACTCATTATATTCACACGTCTGATCACACTGTGAACAAGTATTATTAGAATTTAAGTAATAATTGTCTTTACAAGTTGTGCATCTTCTGTATTGATTTTCACCACAAACATCACAATTTGGGTCAAACGAAGAACACGCCTGACATGATCCGTTGTTAACTGTGAATGGCACATAATTGTCAATACACCCATTACATGTTCCATTAGTGTAACAAGTTTTGCAAGATGCGTCGCAAAGTGAGCACAATCCATTTGAATTAAGATATGAAATACCAGGTGCACAAACCAAACACTTTTGTTCAGTTTGACTACAAGTAACACAATTTGTTATTTCACTGCATTGACTACACCCAAGATCCTTTGGGAAGTACCCAGATTTACAATTGGTGCATCCCAAAGTAGTGTAACACCCAGAAATTTCACAATTTGCATCACAAGTGAGACACGTCGAATTTGAATGGTATGTCCCTGGTTTACAAGACAAACAATTTGAAGAAGAACCCGAGCATGTGAGACAAATTGAATCGCAAGTTTTACAAATCCCATTTTCAGAATAATATCCATCAACACACGAATCACACTTTGTTGTATTAGATATGCAATGCCCGGGGTTACAATTATCACAAACAATACACTGGTAGTTCCACAAATACCTTGACCCCGACTGACAAGACGTGCATATGGTTGAATTGTCTTTGCATGTCTGACACGTCGAAGAACATTGAAGGCATGTATAAGATGAAATATAATACCCATCAACCCATAAATAACACTGATCTGATGTGGGTCCAAAGCATGATTCGCATATGCTGGGACATTGTAAACAATCCTTTTTATCCAAATAAAAACCCAAATAACAACTATAACATTTTTCGTTGGTTCCAAAAGAACACAATTCATTATCATATCTAACACATTCATTACTGTTTAAAGGGTAATACCCGGATTTACAATTGAAACAATAACCACCACGATCACAACGTTCACAATTTGGTGGACACTGGTGACAAGTACGGTTGTATTCTCCGTAAGAATTATCAATATATTCCCCACTTTTACACCCAGTACAATTTGTTTTTTCAGGACCATTACAAGTATAACATTCAGAATGACATTTGTAACAAACATTGTTTGATAGATAATAACCAAATTCACAAGAATAGCATTTTAATGGGGTACAAAGGTAGCAATTGGGAGGACATTGGAAACAAGACCCATTAATTAAATAAAATTTACTATTACAATTATCACAATTATTTGAATAATTACCACTGCAGCTTTGACAGTTTGGATTACACTGGAGACATAATCCATTCAAAAAATAATACCCGGTTTTACATGTCAAACAATTGTTTTCTTCTATTCCGTTACACTTATCACAATTCATAGTGCATTGAAGACAATACCCATTTGAATAATAATTAGGTTTACATCGATAACAATTTCCAGGTCCGCTGTTTGAACAAGTTTCACAAGAATAATCACACTTCAAACGGGTTTAGGAAAACTGGCCTCAGTGAAAACTGGCCACAATATTCAATAAAAGTTCAATAACAATTCAACGTTTTATTCAAAAACAAAACCAATATAAAATTAAATTTGTATTATTTTTTGGCTCTTTTAAGTTCCTTGAATATTTTGCTTTTTCTTAATGGTCTAGATCCTTCTCTTGTTTTCTTTTTGTGGATTGGTTTTGTTTTTTCAGTTGTTGAAGTACATTCATCTTCGTTTATAACATATTTTACTGCGCTTTTTTCTTCGAAATCTATTTCAACAACTTTTTCCAAATTATGTTCCGCTATATTATCCATGTTTGCTTCAGCTTCGAGCCTTTCCACAAGGTCGTTTTCTCTTAATGTTTCTTCAATAAGAGTATCAATATCACAATCGAGAAGTGTATGCATTTTCGAAGCACCAATAATAACAGATACTTTTTCAAGAAACTCAAGTTGATCCATTCCATTCATCAATTCAGTTGTCAGTTGTTTTATTGTTATGTTTTTCATTGCAACAACACGCTTTTTCCTTGTTAATTGCAAATTTGTCGTCAACGAAAAATAATGAATGTCAACACGTTTTATATATTCCTTTAAATAGTCAACAAATTTGTGTATATTAGGTGTTTTTGTTAATACTAATTTATTTAAAGAACTGTGAAAACTTTCTGCATTATTGTTTGTTCGTTCTTCAATACCAAATAAACACCAATTGTCAACTTTAAAAACGCCGTTTATGTAATAATTTTCAAAGTGTTTATAAATAACACAAATGTCGGCGTCATCTTTATAAATTTCTTTTAATTCATAAAATGTTGTGTATATCATACTAACCGGCATAAACGGTAAAGACATCAATTTTCTGATTGCACTTTTAAACTCGTCTCCATTTTTATAACGGTGTTTAAATCCACAATAAGAAACTTTCCGAAATATATTCTGGCAATAATGAAAGTGACAACACTTTACTTTGACTTGTTTAGGAAACAAATTCTTAATAAAACACAACTCAAAATCTCCCATAACAATCATTTCTCTGTTTAAAAAATCACTACCAACAACATTTTTCAAAGTTTCTAAAAAGTTATAATACACTTCAAAACTTTTTTCTTTTAGACACCCAAAAACAATCGGAAAACATTCACCACTGACAAGCCCGTGTATAGTATATAATTGATAAAAAGAGCTATTTGTTATTGTATTATATTATTATAATAAATGTAATTAAACAAACACGGACATGATCTAAATGTGCCATCAAAAAATAAAACTGGAGAAGTTTTTAACAACTCAACATAATCTTGTTTACCAAAAATTACCATATCATCATCTTGATACAATACAATTTCTTTTTCTATTTCGGAAAATTCTATGTCTTGTGTTTTGGTTACAGAGTATGGCTGTCTTTCCTTTCTGACTTGTTTTTCACAAACAGAAATTCTTCGAGTTGTTACTTGAATGTATTGCTCTACTACTATTTGTTTTGTTGTCTTGTTTTTGGAATCTTCCTTTTTAACCGCTTCTTTTAAACGTATTCGAAACAAATCATTTAAATAATCGACATAATCATGTGTGTGAATTGCATCATTTAAAAAAGTGTATTTATAATTTCCACTCTCAGTTTTAACCAGTTCGATTCTAACTTTACAACCTTTGTGAGAACATTTAAATATTATTCGATCCTTTTTTTCGGGTTTGAATTTGCAGCCATTTATGTAAGGCATTTGATAGCCTCTTTGACTTTCAAGAAAAGCAATTTCTGGTATTTCTTCCATTTATTTATTTTTCAGTTTATCGTTTTTATTTAAAAAAATAAATGAGAAAAAGTTGAATTGTTATTGAACTTTTATTGAATATTGTGGCCAGTTTTCCTCCATGGCCAGTTTTCACTGAGGCCAATTATCCGTCTCCCACTTCAAACAATACCCATTTTCGAAATAATAATGAGTGTTACATGACAAACAATTGTTGGCATTTGGTCCATTACAAACTCTGCATGTTGGGTCACACTTGATACATCTTGTAAAATTTAAATAATAATTATTAAAACAAGAAAGACAATTTTCAGGTCCGGTGCCATTACACGTATAACAAGAAGAATCACATTGTACACATTGTCCATTCGAAACACCATACCAAGAGTAACACGACAAACAATTGTTGGGTCCAGAGCCATTACATGTTCTACATGATGAATCACATTGTACACAATATCCATCTGTTAAACTGTCCCAATAACTACAAGAAAGACAATTGTTTGGCTCTGTGCCATAACAAGTTACACACGATGAATGACATTTAAGACATGTGTTACTGGACAAATAATATGAATCATAACACGACAAACAATTATCAGATCCAGTACCATTACATGTTCTACAAGACGAATCACATTGTATGCAATTTCCATTTAAATAACTATACATGTAGTTACAAGAAAGACAATTGTTTGGCGCAGTGCCATTACAGTCGTAGCATGATGAATCGCATTTTACACAAAAACCATTTACAAGACTGTACTGATAATCACACGAATAACAATTATTTGCTCCTGGGCCTTTGCAAGAGATACATGAAGAATCACATTTAATACATGTGTTGTTAGACTGATAATAAGAATATTGACACGAGTTACACGTTGTTGAAGATGCAAAACAAGTGACACACCCCTCCGAACATTGCAAACAGGAGTTATTTCCTTGTAAATAGTACCCACTTTTACAAGAATAACATTCTGTATTTGATCCATTATAACAACTTTCACACCAATCGTGGCACATCAAACACGTGCTTGTACCTGACATGTAATAACCATATCGACATGTTAGACATTCGTCTATTGTATCGCCAAAACATGTAGCGCAAGAATAATAACACTTGAAACACTTTGTATTTTGAGTTAAATAGTATCCATATTTACAAGTTAAACACCCATAATTTGTATTATTAGAACATGTTTTACATGACGAGTAACACGAATAACAAAAGTTATTAAATACATAATAACCATCATTACATGTTACACAAGAAGTATAATTCACACACTCTTTACAATTAAAACAAGTTGTTTTGAGAACTTGTTTATTAACATATATTAAGTTATAAATTGGCGATTTTGGTACTAATATGAATTGATCAAACTTTTTCGAATATTTATATGTATCATTAGTCAAATTAAAATGTAAAATAAAAAAATGTTCCAAATTTAAAACTATTTCGAGGTGCGTATTTACTCCACATTTAATCATAAAATCATCTTTAATCGAAGGCAACTGGATTTTTTCTGTTGATAAACTCCATTGATATTTATGTTCACATTCTTCGCCAAATGATACACATTCGAGTTTGTTTAAATATTTACACCATTCAACATTCAAATTGGTCGATGATGTGATGATAAACAACATTAAAACAAATATTATTATCATAAAATACACTTTTTAGTTAGAGCAAAATATTTATACTTAAAAATGTTTTATAAAAAAACATTATCGAAATTAATTAACTTATTACCCAAGAAATTAAAATAGATTGTTCTGATTGTTGTCTAGTTGTATTTTTTCAAAATCATAAAACACATTTTTTAATTTAACAAAATTTGTTTCTATGTTGTTTGGGATCACAGTTAATTATTATTCATTTATTGGTTTTTTTGAAAAGAATACAAATGGCCACAAATCTGGTATAAGATAAAAAAAATCCTAACCATGTTGGTATATATATAAAAAAACAATCAAAAACATTTAGAATAAAAATAATAATGTTGATAAAAACACTTTATAAAATGTGGTTTTACTTTTATTGGACATTATTTTACATTTAAAAAATTGAATATAATAAATATATTGGTATAAATTATTATATTAAATAATAAAACAAGTTTAGTATATCATTCATCTAAAACAAATGGAATAAAAAACATAATTATCAAAACAAAAATTAATCCAGCAATAACGTGAAAACATCCAAAAACTTTTCATTTTATTATCAATGAAATAAAAATACAAACATCAATACATTAAATTTAAATTTTTGTTTTTTTTTCATCAAATAATCGGCTTTTTAAAAAAATAAATTAAAAAAAATTGAAAAAAATATATATAAAAAGGATTGTTTTTTAAATAGAATTGGTGATTAAGTAAAATCCATTTTACCTGTTTACCAGGGTCCTCCTTTTTCTAAACCCTTGTCATAAAAACTGTAAACGTGGCAAATTCATAAAACGTGGCAACTTTGAATTAAAAAATCTATATCGAGAATAAAACATATTAATATCGGCATTTTTAAAAAGATGGCTTTTAAAACAGAATTTTTGTGAAGCCGCTTTAAAATAAACAAGATAGTGTTAAGTATTTTCAAAACAATTATTAAAAACATCAGTTAATTGTTATTGTTAAACAAAACATAAAAATTACTAAATTTATAATAGTTCCATTTTATTGAGAGCTCTGTCTTTGACATACATTCTCGCTCGTAACGAATTGTGAGCAAGATTGTTTTTGTTGTATCTTTTCAGTAAAGAAAAACTGGATTCACATATAGCAGTGGTGGGTGACATTGCAAGAAGCATTGCTAATAAACAGTAAAGTTTAGACCCACTTTCAAAAATGGTGCATAATCAAGTAAGTCCAAAGACGAACTTAGATCCCAAGGATTTGAACGTCGTGTCAGTACCACCTTTTTTTCTGTCAGAGTCTTTTGACGGAAAGCCTCAAGATCCGGAGCTCCTCTGAGTTTATTCATTTCATCCTGGAGATATACAGTATTTAAATTAAGAGGCTTTTTTGTTGTAATATAATCGTCGAAGTTCATTGCCAATTCACAAAAATCGTCTAACTGTCCAAATTCATCCGTTTGTAATTGTTTAGAAAGTAGATTGTTACCCATTCTTTTAATATACTCGACGCTGGTTACATAATAAACTGGAGATGTTGCAACTGATGCAAAACGGACTCTGAGGGCAGAATGTAAACATTCCAACATTGAATACATTCCTGTTGTTGAAAATGTTGAGTCCTTAAAAAAATCGAGATGTGGAAAGTGTATAAAAATTTTATTTACAATTTCTATTTTCATCTCTTCAATCCTTTTTATAAATTTTTGCACTTTCTTATAACTTCGAAATAAAAGAGCTCTTTTTGATTGAAGCTCTCGGTTTAATTCTTGAGCAATTCCCAATGTATCTAAAATAAACGAGACGTTATATCTAAGTTCCTTACTTTTGAATAACTCTTTGAGTTCACCAATGGTATAATCACCATATTCAAATTCATCATTAATCGAACATTTCAAAAAGATGGTGATGTTATCGTAATTATTATAGACCCACCGAAAGACACACTCAAGTGAAAGGAATCTAGTTTTAACGTAAGTTGGAGGAGCACATTTGAATTGTTCTCTGAATTTTGGGTCATCTCGAAGAAAATCACAAACAGAGGATATGATATAAATACAATCATTAACACCATTATCTTTAATGCACTCCTCGACACAAAGGTTCAGACGATGACACATGCACCACATTGAAAAAATTGGACAGTACCTATTATCAATTGCTTGCAAATCACTCACAATACGACCGGCCATACCTTTTCCACCATCTCTTGTATTGCTTCCACCATCTGTCCCTATTTCTGCAACTTTCTTATAATCAATGTTGTGGTCTTCCAATACTCTTTTCATATTATATGACAGATTCAAACCAGACGCCTTTCCATATTGAACTTTTGCTTCGAGAAGCCTTGTGTGTATCTTGAGATCTTTGTCAACAGCTCTGATGTAATACGAGTACCACGAATCTTTTGATATTTTACTTTCGTCCTCCAACACTCCAATATAAAGACTATCACTGAGTATTTGGTCAACTTCATTAACACATGTTTCCGCTTGTTCAAACACTTTTCTCGTAATTGTCTGTTCGCTTGTTCTTATTTTTTCGAGAATTTCGATTCCTGATTTTTTTATGTACTCTCCTATAATATCAACAATCTTATTAAGTGCCACATATTTACTTATAATATTATTTGCAGCCATTATTGATGATAATTGTCCAGTTAATTTTCTTCCTGCTTGAACCAACTCAGCATCGTTTCTTTTGGTTAATGAAACTACAATTGCTGGACCAAACCTTTTGTACATTACAACCTTTTCTCCACTACAAAAAGCGGTTAGAATGATTTATATTATTTGTAAATATTTTATATCTTCTTTGTGAATATTAAGGTGTGATATAGTTTGGTTTCTGTCTATGGTTAACCCACACACTTTGCAAACAAAAATTCTTTTCTTTTGGTCTACTTCAATAAGCATTCTATTTTCCCATATCTTTGAATGGTCGATTTTTTGTTAGATGGGTAGTGAGCGTCTCATTTTATATTGTTTTGAGTTCTTTATAATCTATAATAAAACTGTTATCTAAATACAAAAGTACTCATGTTAATAATTTAAAATAATTATATACTTATAATCATTGTTTTTGTTGATTTATTTTTACATTTTTAAATTTGTATTAATAATCTGATCTTGGTCAAATAAGGTAATTTTGCTTTGTTTTCGAGCTCTGTTTTTTTTCCAAATTCTTTTACCATTATTTTTCACATGAAACCCTTGTCAAAAATATACTAAATTGGAGGACCCTGTGTTTACCACAAAAGATAAAAAATATGTAAAATATTTCTCCAATTTACGATCTTAAAGATCCCTGACTTTTAAAAAACATTTTTATTTAAAATCAAAAAGTAATGACACTTTGCAATAGCAACAAATTTTATTCAATGAAAAAGTACTTTTATTTTTGCCAACATATAACAATTATTTCAATTGATGTTAAAAATAGATATAAATAACAAATTAGACAAAGAAATCAAACAATTACCAAAATTATAAAAAATGAAATTTTTCAAAAACACAATCCAATTGTTAATTTCGATAAATTTTTAAATAAATTTTAATTTGTTTAATAAAATAACACCTTCATCTTCTTTAAATTTGATACATTTATGAAAGTTACATAAATTATAACTATAAATTTATTTCAGATTCAACAAATTAACCTTAGAACGCTGATTCAAATCCACTTATTTTCTATCCCCTCCCGTTGGGACCAACTGGAAAATACTATTTATTATTTTTTTACAAAAAAATAAAATCAACAAATAATCAAAACCATACTTATTTTTTCTTTACAGTTGGTACACATTGCGCGGAAGTGTTCATAACAGCACCAAACATCAAATCCTTTATTTTAGCAAACAATGTATTTGAATTTAGTTCTTTTTACATGAACAAAAGTGTTCAAGCAATCAGTTTCATTGTTTAGACATGTTTTTTTAATTATCATTCTGAGTGTCCAAAGACCTGTTCTTTATTGAAGTCGGAATCCTTTATTGATTTTATCAATTTGGGTTAGTTAGTTAGTTTGGTTATTATTGATTTTTTGTTAAAAATTATTATATTATAATAATGATATAATATAATTATTTTAAATAGTTAATTTTTATGTTAATTATGTTTATCAACATCTGTTTATTTCATAATTAAAAAAAGTGGATGAAAATTCAAATCCTATAATTTTTATTATTTTTTCCAGTTCCTCCTTCCTAAGGTTAATTTATATTATTTTATGACATATATAAATTATTGATTATAATATATCAATTTTATCATAAACAACTTTCAAAAAAAATAGTTTCGTAAAAAGATTTGTTGATTATTTATAATTGATTATTAATTGTGTTTTTTTTCTTATTTAAAAAACATTATTGTTATAAAGTAGTAGAACAATATTTTTTATAGTAAAATACATTTATTGTCAAAATTATAAAAAACATACAGCAAATCAATTTTACTTGAAAAATAGATGATGGATTTAAGTTGCTATATATTCAAAAAATAAACCCAATAAGTAAAATTTAATTATTAAAATCATCGTTACATATTTTAATTAACAGAAATATTACTATTATTATGCATATTTTTAATAATAATAGTATAGTTTTGTTATAGAGAATTTTGAATTATTATAAGTATTTTATGGTTCAATTTATCAAAAGTTGAAAAAACAAATAGTTACAAATAATGTAATAATTAATCAATCTAACAATCGTCAGATGTCGTACAAATAAAAAATACGATATTTGTTGTCAATACATATTAATTTGACTATTAATTAACACTTTACAAATATCTTTTAAAAAGTAATCGTTTGAGCAGCAGCAA